AATTTCTACATAATTGAAAGGCACCATAAACAGTTAAAAGACAGGTTACAGATTGGGAGACTATGTTTACAATACACATAGCCAACAAAGGATTAGAGTCCAGAACACATAAATAGATTTCTAAATCGATAAGAAAAAGAACCATAACTAAGGAGAATAGTCCACTAAGGAGATAAACAGAAAGAATATAGAAGAGGAAATACAAATAATGGACAAACAGGAAAAATGCTCAATCTGACTAATTATTAGGAAAAATAAATTTATAACAACAAAGAGATATCACTTTACACTGATTGGCAAAATAAAAATGTATAACAATTCCAAGAGTTGGTGATGATATAAAGAATCATATGATGGGAGGCATATGACATGATGAAATTACTATTTAGCATGATCTAGTAATATTGATGACATACTTTATGTCCTAGAAAAAGTTTCATGCATTCCAAAAGAGATATGTATAGGGATAGTTGTTATAACATTGCTTGTATATTAGTCAGCTGTCCCATTGTTAGAGCAAAATAACTTACACATACAACATAAAGGAGAAGAGGTTTAATTTGACTCATGGTTCTGGAGGATTCAGTCCATGGTTAGCTGGCTCCCAGGCAGAAGGCATGTGGTGGAAGGGCATGGTGGGGCAAAGTTTCACAGCTCATGGCAGCCAGAGAGCAGAAGTAGAAGGGAGAAGCCAGGACAAGATATATGTTTCCATACCATGAACCGAGTGACCTGCCTCTTTGACCAGGCCCACCGCCTAACAGCTCATTCAACCAGGAATTCATCAGTGGATAAATCCACTGATGAGCATAACAATTGCATAATCCAATCACCTTCCAAAAGCCCCACCTCTGAAAACATGAGACTTTTGGGGGATATTTTGCATCTAAACCATTATAGTTTGTAATAGCACAAACTAGAAAATTATCTAAATATCTCATAGAAGTTGTTAAATAAAAATTGTAAATAACTGATACAAACTAGTTTCCAAGTGCAGGGCCTTTACATCACCCTGGAAGAGTTGAGCAGAAAATGAATACTTAAGGATACTAAAGTGACTAATAGAATCATTTGAAGAGACTGAATAAGTAGACCAGAAATTTCAGAGTATACAGATGGCCTGAAGAGTCACACTCAGACTGAGTCCCCCAAAGAACTGTTGCTTCTTCTGTGCTCTGCAAACCTTTGTCTCCAGAACAATTTCATCATGGCTACAACCAGCAAAATGTCAAGGTGAGAGGTGCATTTGCTGATTCCAGAGATATGAGTCTGTTCTGGGACCTGTCCAAGCAAACTGGATGCCCCATGAGCTGTTTGTGAACATCTATAGAACCAGCATCTAGATCAGTGATGGTGAACCTTTAGAGACCGGGTGCCTGTAGAACTACAACACCAAACCCACTTATTTATCACACAGCACCCGCACTGCAGTTACATTTGAACACAGATTTTAGTTAAAAAAAAAAAAACTCATACATTCACATGTTTCTCTTAAAAGAAAAACACAGTAACATGTGTGCCATATGTTCTCTACCAGTGATTTAGTTGCAGGAAATTAGACCCTAGAGGTCTGCCCAGCCTCTGTCAGCAGAAGCACAGAAGGAGCATAAATTCCATTTCACTTCCTTCTTGCAAATATCAGGCAAGTGCCTCTGCCTGACCACATCTAAGATACACCTACAGCACTAGCTTTGAGCTTTCAAGGGCTCTCCATCGCTGGGAGCCACGTTAGAAGAAGCGTAGAATGAATGCTGAGTGTCAAACTGCCCTATCTGTTCGTGGTGGATACTAGGGTGCTTTGCCCAGACCCTATTTTAAAGCTGGCACACCCTTTCTTTACAGCTGGATTTCCAGGTCAAATTTCAGGACTGCATACCTCACTAGGACCCATCCTTGCACACTGACAGCTGACTCCCCAGAGTAGGGTGCCCTCCCAAACATAATCATTACAGACTGGCTGATGTAGTGATATGGAGGCCTGGTCATCTCATGCCAGTGGGATGAAGGTCATCACAGTCCCAAAGGTCCTGCAGGACAGGCCAAGGGCTGTGGTGCAGCCAGAGTACTCAGCATATGAGACACAAAGAGAAAGAATGAGATAAGAAGTGGAAGAGGAGGAGGAGGAGAAGAAAGTGGATATTCAGGTAATAGACTATTGCTCTTTGGTGAAAATGAATGAACTAGGTCTGAGTTAATCATTACAGCTGAAATTCAAAATACTGAGCAAAGAAAGGTCAAGTCATAAAATAGTATAATCACTTTCATATACATAAAATGCGTAATAAAATGATAGAAACATCATGACATTTGGGAGCTAAGAATATAGACAAATGAAATAAGAGTACATTGCAACTTCAGTTGTAATTTTATATTTTATTTAAAGAAATATAAATATGTGATGATTTGGTTGTGCCAGGTGACAGAAATACAGTTGTTCATTTTGTTATTTTATGTATTTGCCTTTATCTTTTAAGTATTTTAAGATATAGGTGTCCAACCTTTTGGCTTGCCCAGGTCAGAATGAAGAATTATCTTGGACCACATATTAAATATATAACACAGTTAATATATATAAGTAATGAAACATTCCTTCCTTCCCCCTTCTCTTCTCTTCTCTTCCTTTCCCTTCCCTTCCTTTCCCTTCCCTTCCCTTCCCTTCCCTTCC